TTTATAAAACCCTATTTCATTTGGCAGGTGGCCGGCATGGCCCACCCTTGCCTTGTCTCACTCTCCCAACAGGGAGCCGCTGACTGCTGTGTCTGAAGGAAATAAAACAGGTTCATTTCCCTGCACACTTCACAGAGGGGTAGAAGTAGCAGGCAACTCAAATATATGGCAGCAGGTGGGGAGCAGGAAAAACTCTATTGAAGGATTTGAATTGCCTTGCAAATGGCACTAAGAGCAGAATATTAAAGTCCCTGCTGCCTCGCTGGGAACTGCCTAGTTAAAGGGCAGTGCTATTAAGTCTGGGTATAATCCCCCTGTGTGGCAATGACTTCGTTCTTATGCTCATCACTGCTTCCAACCTTAACCTCGGACAGGACTGGGATCCTAAATTCTGACCACAGCCCGAGTCCCTGATCTTGAAGAGCTGTTTTAAAACTCACAACAGGGAGTGGAAAAAATTGGAAGCATCAGTTTGTTTCATCCCAAGAGCAACAGAACCAATTTGAAGTAACATGGAGGGACAGTAGGTAGGATGTGTTATCTTCGCGGATGAAGAACAGCACAGAGAAAACTGGGATTGTATCAAGGAGGAAGAAGGCTTGCCTTGGAAATCTGACAGAAGTTTCCCCCCGGGCCCAGGGTTAGGCAGACTGCTGGTTTTGACTAATTGGCTAGATGTGTGGAACGCAGGGTCGATGTGTGCACTCTAAGGCTGTCCCCCCAAATCACAGCAGAGGGGTAGGAAGTCACGGATTTCTCCCACCTTGTCAGAGAGCCTCATTGTAAGACAAAGGAAACCGTTTAGTGTTGGCCTGTCATCTAACTGAAGCATGGCCTTGTGGTCAGAGGATTTGATTTTTTTGAGTAACCAGGTTTAGAGAAAGCTGGGCCCAACTCCTGGTCATTCCACTTCCTAGGTACAAGACCTTGGGCGAGACAGTGAGCACGGTCAGAGCCTCACATTTCCCATCTCTACACAAGGACTCTAATAGGACTTATTTTATAGAACCAGTGTGAGGGTTAAATTTGTTAATATAGGTAAGTATTTGGCACAGGTCAGAGCACAAAACGATGACAGTTATTGCCATTGTTATGATTATTACCGCCACTACTATGACACAGTTTGGTTCATGCCAGATTACCAATAGAGTATAGGATAGTCATTATTAAGAGGTCAGGTTTGCCCTGGATGGTTTTCTCAGTGGTTAGAACATCGGCCCGCAGACCGAAGGGTCACGGGTTCAATTCTCGGTCAAGGGCAAGTACCTCGGTTGCAGGTTCCCTGCCCCAGTCCAAGCCTGTGTGGTCTGGCCCCTGTGCATTTGGGAGGCAACCAATTGGAGTGTTTCTCTCACATCAATGTTTCTCTCTCTCTCCCTCCCACTCTCTCTAGAAATCGATGGAGAAAATGTCCTCTGCTGAGGATTTAAAAAAAAAAAAAAGAGTTCAGATTTGGCAGCCAGAATTGAGTTTCAGTGTGTACTAGATCTAAGCTGGGTACCTCTGGGCAGTTCATTTACCCAGTCTGCATCTCACTTTCTTCTGTGCCTCTGTGATGATAGTTTTTTCTGACTCATGGGATTTTGCAGATTAAATAAGCTAGCATATGTGAAACACTTAGAAATGGTGCCTGGCACAGAGTATGTGCCATGTAAATATTAGCTATTATTATCGGTATTTTGGTAAACATCTTGAGGGCTTGGCTCACAGGTCCCAATGGTGCCTTCAGTTCCCAGCATGTTCTCGGTCTGTTACTAAACCTACAATCTCCGCTAAAAGCCTATATCCACCCACTAAAGCTTCAGCTCACAAATGGAGGTTTGGAACCACATCTGGTCATTAAGATTCTGTCAGCAAAGGCATGTGCCATCACACTTCAGAATCCAACCCTCTGTCGTCTCCCATTTATGAGTCACTGAGATCCCATAGTTGCATCTGTCACGGCAGATTATGTTATGTCAACAGGACAATGCAACAATAGATACAACTGGTTGTGGCATGTAAGAAAATGATAAATAAGTTCCAGGAATTTGAAAAGACAGTTTTCTGAAAGGAGGGCAGGTGCTGAGCCTGGA